CTGTCTTGCTCTTTAGTATATATTCCTTCGAAAAAAATTTTTTATAATATGTCAAGAAATTTGGTTTAATTCAAAATGTTTTACACCGGTTGCATACGTCTAAACTATTGTCAAGATTCGTCGAGAATAGGTCGAAGGAGATAAGAAAAGCAACCAATGTACAGATTTGTTATGTATTAATAGCAGATAATCCAGCAGATGTTGCTATCTGAAGATGTACGCTGAAAAAATTAGCGGCCAATCAACTTTGGTAGCACAGACTTTCTTGGTTGAACCAAGCAGAGGAATATTGGCCTCAAGACATTGAATACAAAGAACTGGAAGAAAATTAATTCTCAATGTAGGATCCTGATTTTGTTACTCTAAACGTTACAAGTACGTCACCGGCAATCAATATAAGTAAATTTTTAAACTGTTACCGACTTAAAGGAGTAACAGTTTATGTTTTACCGTCTTTAAAAAGTAAATTCTGGGATAAGTTATCCGTAAAAACCAAGGAGAAGTCTCTCTTAATTGATCATATATTGAAAATACAGGGTAGATAAGCGCTCAAAAACAACCGAGTGCTGTATATTTGTTGATAAGGATGGAACAATTACATTATCCAAAGACGCTTGATATCATAGCAAGGGGAAGAAAGATAAGATGAAAGATCAGTTAGGACTGTTTCTCAAGGATGAAATAATTAGATGCGCTAGCTGTTATGGTAATCTGAGTTTACTGGAAGAAACAAAATCTACAGTCCTATCTCATCATGACGGGGAGATAACGAAGCTTATTTTTGAAGTAATCTATCAGCGTCTAATGCATATGGGCATGCAGTCGGTACTCGCAGAATTCAGAAAGAAGTGATGGAAATGTCCAAAGATGCTTGATATCATAGCAAGGGGAAGAATGGTGATCTGCGGAAAAAAGATGGATGAAAATTATAGTATTTGGTTACAGGGACTTATGAATAATGATTAGGCTCGTGTGGCGCTGATGCAAGTTCCGTCTCTTATGAGAAATAATGACGCTAGAAGACTGACGTAGTATTCAGATATGGACGATGCAGGCTATGAGGGGATTATTCGTGATCTTTCAGGCAACAGGTTATCTAATGCGTTGAGGGACACGCTTAATACAAAGAGAAGGAACACTTTTGAAAGGGGGAGGATTGAGCCAGGAAGAGTTAGAACCTGAAAGGGTGGACCTGATAAATCCAAGAAAAAGGTTGTTGGAAGAAGAAGTACGGATCAAAATAGCGGGACAGAGGGTCATTATGACGTTAGAGCAACACAAAGTTTCAAGTCACATTGATGATCCCACGGCAAGAATTATGATTGCTCAGGCTCCGGCAGACACTGGCAAACCATGTATTTCGGCACTTTATACAACAATATTACTTCAGAAAACTGAAGAGGTAGTTTTAGTCACAGCGCCAACGAATTTAGCAGTGCAGAAGGTGACAGAGATAGTTCTCGAAAATGCACAATTAAATAACGGAGATTTAATATTTTTGCGGTCAGTTGCAAATGAATTTCTTACCAACACAACCATGGCAGAGCTACAGACATCTCGAAATACTGCAACAACACCTAAATGCGAAGAATCCTTAAGCGAATACACCATTTATTAGAAGGTATATTACAAGATGGATCTTGCATGACGGGAATACATATCGCGAGGGAGGAGAGTTGGCTCAAGCAATATGTATTCGCAAGCCCAGAATTCTTTGCAGAACTGTTTCCACAATACGTAAAGCTCTAGAGGTCTGGAGTAACCAGTTTCGTTTGGATGAACTGCAACAGCTCATTGTAGATAAGGCAGGTCTTCTACTGGAGATGTTCTTATTTAGTCTCGTATCGTTTATGCCGAGTATTTATAAACTTCTTTTGACGGGAGATTACAAGCAACTCTAAGAGCAAATCTCCAACGTGCAATTCATTCAGGTCACGAAGTGGCTTTGCATAAGCTAGCTGGAAACGTTTCCGTCCGATATATTACTTTGACTAAAAATTTTAGAAGTCATTCACGGACTGTAGAAACAGTTTTAGTTACATCGTACAAGGGAATACTCATACCCGTGCAGGAAACCTAGGGCCGCTCTATGTAGCAAAAGCTCGGACTGCCATCACCCAACCACGAGATACCAATTCTGTTCCTTCATACATCGGATACGGAAAAACTGACGCGGGAGGAAAGTTGGGTGAACGACTTAAAATTTGAAAAATTTTTAAGGTTAAAATTTTTATATTAAGTTTTAAAGCTTTATGAGGTCCCACAAATTTATATCTTTGTTTTTGTTTTTGTCTCTATTTTTACAGCGTTCGGGATCTCAACCACAAAAAATTTTATTCATTCTTTTGAATTTTATAATTCTTGATTTTTTTTTGTTCCTTTTATTTTTTCTTCTCTTTTCACTGTTGTATTTTAAAGACTAAAAGACCCTAAGCAGGGCACAAAATGTTTCTTTCAGATATTGTTGCAACCAACATTGCAATTAAGTAGTTCACACTGTAGTAGACAGTTAACACATTGATGGAACAAATTTTAACATTGAATTACAGTGTTAGAATGATGTTACAAGTAATTATCACCCGATTTATGCTTCTTGATATTTTGTTAAAATAAAAACTTATTTTGAAGGGAAGTTATACATGTAAAAGGAGGAGAAATAATATATTGATGCATTTGAGACAGAAAAGACTTTGAAGTTGAACACTTTTTACCTGAAGAAATACGATTTTTTTGCTTTCAAATTTTGTTGCGTTTCTCTGCGTTTCTTTTTTTGTTTGAGGGTTTGTTTTATTGATTTTATTTGATTATTGATTCTCTTGATTTATATATTTGCATTTTTCTTATATCCATAAAACTTTGTCTATGAAATCCGTTTTACTTCTTCATAGATGTTTAAAAAGGAGGAATTTCAGACAAGCCATATTATTTTAGGAAGCCAAATCAAACTTAGAGATTGAGGTTTTTCGTAAGCTATTCGGTAGAATTTAGAATTCTCGAGATTAATATTCAATAAAGAACTTCAACATATAAGTACTGTAGAAGAAACAATAAGAACAAAGAGGTTTAGTAGGACCGATGAGAATTCTACTCTTCAAATAAGTTACTGTAGAAGAAGATATATGTTTCTCTACAGATATACCCTGCGGGATCGAGGAATTTAGTGATAAAAAAGTTTTATTAGTTTTATTGTATGTTAAGTTTTTATTGATTGTGTCTTATACTTTTTATATAATTTTAGCCTGTGCTACTTAGATTGTTATATTAATTTTTGAATTTTCTTTTTCTTTCTTTGTATTCTTATCAATCGTCTAACTTGTAGAGGATTTACTTTTTAGCCTCCACCCCGCTGTCCTAATAATCTCACTTAGCGGAAGCGTTATCTGTCGGCCTCCTCAGGAGTGTCGCGGCAGTACGCGAAACGCCAAATTTATCTGGGGCGACGTCACTCTCTGAAGGAACGCTTTCGGAGAAGTAGCGACTGTCTCAGGTAACAGACTACAGGCGAAGGTCATCGTTATCTTCATAGGAGAAGCCTCTATAAAAGGGTCGGTTGGTCAAATCTTCAAAAAAGAACAGAAGATTAGGCGATAAGTAGAGTATAAAAGGAATTCTGAAGCTACTATAATATAATTTCTTCTCGATCTTCAGTGATCAATAGCGATTGTAGTCAAATCCCTTTCTACGTTTTCAAAGCTTTATTTCCGTTTCTTCCATTATTTTCTCATTTGTTTATTTATAATTTTGGTTATTGTTTGTCTCGCATTATTGGTTTGTGTTTGATATTAATATTGGCTTTGTTTT